ACACGACTGGATAAGAAGAAGCCGCGAGAAGTTTGTAAGAAAAAATAAAATAGAAAGAGTTGGCAAAAAGAGTCGAGAGAGAGAGGGGGGGGGGGTTGGAATTGGGGAGTATAGGGGAGATTCTTCTTCTTGGATCGCAAGAGCAGCGTGGCCGCGGCGGCCGATGACTCCGTGGCGAAGCTGCTGCTGCTCCTGACTGCCAGTTTATTGATTGATGACCGTGCAGAAGCCTTGGCGCTTGCTTTGCGACTTGGCTCTGCCCCGCCCTGCCCCGCCCCTCTGCCAATAGTCACCCCTTCCCTTTGCCCACCCCGCCCGCACTTGCACGAGCGGCAAGTAAATGAATTGTTTACCAAGTTTTTACCCTCTCTCCCTCCTCTTGTGCCGGTCCAATATCAGCCGCGCGCTCTGTGTGGTGCTCTCCAGGAGGGCCCTCCTGGAGCCTGGAGTGTGTGTGTGTGTGTGTGTGCTTCCCACTGGACTGAAATGTTTATGCTCTGGCTGTGGAGGATTGTAAGCTGGAGAAGTAAAAAAAGTGGGGGGGGGGGAGTCTGCGCGTAAGGGGCGCGAAAGAAGTGCGCGCGGCCGCGGCTGGTGCGGTCATTGAACCCGCCCCCCCGGAGCCGCCGCCTGGACCAGGAGGATGGGGGATGCTGGAGGATGAGGGATGCTGGAGGATGGGGGATGCTGGAGGATGGGGGATCGCCGGAGGATTGGGGATGGTGGAGGATTGGGGATGCCGGAGGATGGGTGGATGCTGGAGGATGCGGTTGCTGGGACGTGGACGACGGAGGACTTGCTGGAGAAGTAGCTTGTGCTAGAGGATGCTGCTGGAAGAGATTGTGTAGCTGGAGAAGGGGGATATTGGTAAAATGGGCGTTTAAAAAGAAGAGCAGGAGGAGGGTGGTAGATACGGTGAGCGGCGCGGGGTTGCCGGCTTTGTGTCGGGGCGCTGTGGGAACGTGCGTCTCTGGACGCAGGATGCTGGGGGCGCTGTTAGGGGAGAGGGCGCCGCTGCTCTCTGGACCCGCGGCCACGCCGCCGGGGGGTCAGAGTCGAGTAAGACCCTCCCGGGACGGCACGCCCACCCCCTCATGCAGAAAAGATGCGGCACGCACCTGGGCTAGCCCGGGGCGAGGCGGAGCGAGGCGGGGCGGCCTGATAGCCATCACGGTCGTGGGTGCGGGGCGGGGGAACAGAGTTTACCGGCAAGTTGGGCCTCGCCCGCAGAAGTCTGACCCAATGCTGTGCCTTTCGCTCTCTTGTAACTTCTTTCTTCGGGCGTGTTCCCTCTCCCTCCCAATATATACGCAGGAGCATAAAAGGTAGAAGCAAACGAAAGAAAGTAACTGTAACAAGTTAATTGCGGTAAGGGGCGGGGGGGGGGGTGAAACCAACTCGAGCGCTGGAAGCAACAGCGGCTGGAGAGAAAAGAGGATGGCGTATACAAATGTATTTCGTCCTTTGTTTCTATTTTTTACTTCCGGTGTGATTCACTCGCTGATCAGCGCGACGCTGCCGGTGGCCCGGGGGCCCGGGGGCCCGGGGGCTTCGTTAGCATTGATAACACACACGCACACACACGACACGCACACGCACACGTCACCGGCAGAAAAAGGGGAGAGTAAGGGGGAGAGAGGGATGAAGGAGGGGGGTAGGGGGTAGGAGGGCAGTAATTCATATGCGGCGTGCGTGGCTGCGTGGGTCATAATGGCCAGACAAACCTCCCCTCGCCCCATCTCTCATACCCCCCCTCCCCTCTCATACATTCTCTCTCCCTCTCGCTCCCTCTCTCTCTCTCGCTCTCTCTCTCTCTCTCTCTCTCTCTCTCTCTCGCTCTCGCTCTCGCTCTCGCTCTCGCCCTCGCTCTACGGCTGGCGCAGACATCGTGGCGGCGTTGTGTGGCGAGGCACGGTGGCATGTGACGCCTAACCACAGCATCCAATCCGTTCCCCTCCTGCCCCACTCTCCTGTCCCAGTGTCGCCCTGTCCCAACCCTGTCCTCCTCTGTCCCCCCTGTCCTCCTGCTGAGCCCAGCCCCCCTGCGACGGCCGCGAAATAATATCTGCATGCATATTAAGAGTCGGACAGGTCGTCTGGCGAGTCGTCCTGCAGCATGTCGCCCTCCTATGCCGTCCTGTCCACCTGTCGAACGCACCGCGTCGCACGGCCGACCCCGGCCATCGTGCTTCGCCACACAAACCGAAAGAG